CTCTCCAGTCCAAGCAGCAAATATCTGTCTTTCACACAGAGCAAAATAACTTCAAACATACAAATGTTTTGTTAGACTGATTTCTTTTTAAAAGACTATTTTTTTCAAAAAGATAAATATTATTTATGGTTTCAGCTCATGTAATTATTTATTCTTCATATTTGATCATTTATTTAATTACATTTATCCCAGAAAAGCTGTATCACAGTATGGTCCTAAATATAAACAGGGTTCATCAAGAACCTTTTTTTTTAAATAAAACTGTTAATGAAATTTGTGGATCCTTATGATAAATTAAAATAACATTTTAAACTCATTCACCTAGAGAAAATGGCAAGTTGTTTTAATTTTTTTTAAATATATAYATGTTTTTGACGGGGGTGATGTTAAACAGAGAATCATCTTTGTGGGCAAACAAATGTTCTGTTAGAGTTAATGTGGTTTAATTAGAACAGTGGGACCCTGCAGTATCACAGAAAGACTCAGCTTGAGTGYGCAGCGACGCACARCAGTCTCTCATCAGGAGGAGAGAGAGTTTAGTCACTCACACAAAGTTGGACATATCTGTTTGAWAATGACGCTCTGAACATWTACAGTATTTAATATAWAGTTAGGTTTTACAGACCAAARTCCAAGTAGCTCAGGAGCAAAGTGCAGGAGATGTCAAGCCGGGTTCCCACCACCAAACACGTTTTGAGCAGCCAAAGCAGCCAGTTTTACTGTACATGCAAAGTCTGACCGCAGCAGCCGCTGCTTCAACCAAACTTGCTCTCACTGAAAGTCCTGCCCTGCTCTGCTCTGATTGGATGAAACAGCTCTGGACTTCAWCTGATTTGTTGAAGGCAGTGTCCATTTWATACTTATGTTAGGGTCCAGYTGTCGGCTTGGTGAGCACCKAACGACAATCCACTCACACCACTGCGGCTGGATTTTTTTATTTTTATTTATTTATTTTTTAATCAAGTCGCATTTGGGACCAAACTGGTCGCACTCTAGAGCCCTGCTAGCTGTTGTTTTGACAGACAATCAGGTACAATCTTAGGTACGCAAGTGCGCTTTATGACGTTCCATCTGGTGCTCTTTTCCTTTTTTTGATGGCGCGTGTGTACCTGCGCACCACTTATGTGCAACTCTGCTTATAAGGCTGAATTCACCGGAAACTCATCAGACTGAAGAAGTCTCTTGGAGGAGAGAYGAAACGTTTCACTAAAGAAGAACCCATCCAGAGGACCTACTTATGTTTTCTTTTTGATTTTTTCTAACTGGATTATTGAGATGCATTAGGACAAATTTGTGAGTTTCTTTCACAAAACTCAAACACTAGACTAAACTAAAATAAAGATGAACACGTTTCCACTATCCGTAAGTGTTTCTCATTGTGTGATCCTTGAGTAGAGGCACTGAACATTAGCTAYGCAGATTAGGGGTAACATCCAAAGAAGAGTACAGACAAACATAAACATCCCAATGATACTAAAAAAGTGAGAGAAAAGCCAAGTGGATTAATAAAGAGGAAGTGGACCTCACCTCTGTGATGAGTATCCTCTCTCACACAGGTTCACCAAAGCATACAGATGTCTCAGGGCATATTCATACTGAAACACAACAGAACAGAACATCAGAAACGTCCCGACAATCTGACACACAACTTGAAAACAATAATCACATTTTTCTATTTCATTATTGGCAACTGAAACGTCAAAAGTTCCCAGAATAAGAGAACAGTTTCTGAGTTACAGCTGCACAAGTGTCCTGGGAAAATTCTGACCTTAAATTCTGCAACATACTGTATTTCCCCAAAACAATGGGTGATTCATTTTGAGCTTACGCATTAAAAGTAGAGATCGACCGATCAGGTTTTTGAAGGCCGATACCAATACAGATTTTTTTTGACATCAGTCTAACCCAGTGGTTCTTAACCTTTTTTGAGGCACCGAACCCACCGGTTTCGTACGCGCATTCACTGAACCCTTTTTAGTGATAAATAAAATGATTTTTTTTCCAAATTCATGATATAGGTTGTTTTTTTTTTTTACTGGTGTATAAAA